TTTCCCTGGCTTTCTGTTAATAACTGCTTTTCTCATTATTTATTTGGGAAGAGAAGGGATTCAATCACAACTTCTGCTAACTGATGATGACAGTTGTGAGTGGCTGTAATTTGCTAGCTGCAGGCTGCTTACATTGTCCTGCAGTGTGACTGGGGAGGATTTTCAGCTCTCTCTCACTTATATGTACTCTTTACTGTGAGAATAATGTGGGCAGCACTGCAGCTTGTCTCCCATACAAGACAAACAGTGACTTTCTCTCCTCCCAGGACACTTAGTTTAGCAAACCTTGGGGCATTGTAAGAGCTCTTTGATACGTCTGCCATTCTGTCAGATAAAGCTGTACAAATACAGCTGGTGTCTTTCATAATTATTAGTAGGAAACCTCACTCCAGATATGGTCACGTCTGTCTCCTTTCCTTAGGAAGTCAGTCTAAGAAAACAATTAGACCCCCAGCAGACGTAAAGGCCATGATGTTGTACTGCACTTGCACACAAGGAACAGATTGATTGAAGGGAAGTAAGTGCTGATTTACTTGCTTTTGAAATAAGAGCTGCACTTTTGAAAGTCAGGAGGAGGATACTAACAGCTCTGAAAATAAGGTAAAAGCATGAGTTGGCAGAACAGGGAAATATTTTTGGTTATGTTTTTTTTCAGTGATTATTCATAAATCTGTACTTGAACTCCACACCCTCCTCGCCCACCCGCTTCAAAGTGGTTGTACAAACTATGTAGAATAGCTCTAAACAAAGTTTCTTGGTATCAAACATGAAAAATTCAGATCCCAAAACAAGTCTTCTTGCCACATTTTGCTTTAACAGTGATTAATTTATGATGTAAATGCTGTGAATGAGACATAGCAGATTCTCGTGTAGCAGAAGTAACTTACAGCTCTAATTAAGATAAGTGAGATCCAGTTTTTAAGGTCACGAATAACAATTGTTTGTGTGTTTCCCAATTGCCTTGTTCCCAGCCTTTTACATTTGTGCCAATAGTTGTCTGCGTGCTAGATATTTTAAAATACTGGGCACAAAGATTGATGACTTTATTTACTTTTTACAGTAAATAGGTCTCTTTTAACTTCTTAGTAACAAAGGAATCCACACTGTTTGTAGTGAAAACTGCTCATCTGTTCCTCCCATTAAAACTACCAAAGCATTACAGTTTTGATTTGAGAACAAATTAAATCACAGATCTTTCTGTCACATCCAAGCAGACAGACTTGCAGATCTGCCTGGAGACCCCTTGGAGTCACTGGTGGTTTATGCAGGTACGAGGGTTCCTCTGTGAAGGCCCAACAGCACTAGATTTGATCTGTCTCCTCTTTCAGTAACCCTGTGTGCTGCTTGGCTTTGTGAAAGAGCTACTGTGTATGAAAAAGGCAAGTTCAAACTGCGTACATGTAGCTGAGCACAGAAACAAGGTTAAAACTGCTGTTTAAAGCTGGGCTTAAGTGGAGATTCCTCCATTTCAATTTTGGCTCTTTCCATAGTTCACCAGATCACCCGGATCATGTACTGGGTTCTTCCAGGACCTCTTTTTGTCATCTACACATGGTGCAGAAGGGCGCTCTGGCAGTTATATCCTGCCCACGATCTGTCCCTGAAGCAAACTGCTGCTGCCAGTTTCTCCTCCTTTCTGCTGAAGGTCACCATCCCTGGGACATCCTTGTGTCCCTGCATCCGCTGTTCCCATTCACTGGCAAACAGATCAGCTTAAACTCTCTGCAAGGGCAGCTGACATGAGAGGGAGGCAAGGCCACCCTTCAGCTGGAGCAGGAATACCAAGAAATGCCTGAAAACATTGGAGCTGTTTGCTCAATGGACATGTAAGAGAGCCGAGATGCTCACCTCTGAAAGCAGCTGTCGTCTCCAGTGTCCTGAGAAAAGCAGCCGGAATGTGCTGTTCTGCAAACTACTGTCACTTGTTTATAGTTTTTTTTCCTTTTTATGACTTTTTATACTTTGGTTTCATGACCAGCTGCAGTACGTGAAGAACCTGTAGTGAGATCGTAGTGTGAGGTCAGTCTGAGAAAGGCCGCAACTGAGACAGGACATCTCTTTCTGCCTCCTGTGAAGTGAGCAATACGCTGTTTTCACGGTGGAGGGTTCTCATTTGAAATCTTGCAATAAAAGGGAGAACCGCTGAAGGCACCTTGCATGCCCTGCACTCGGGCTGTGGTTTCAGTGAGGCACACAGGGAACGCTGACACCTGGCAAGTTAACCCTGTGAGACACATCCTCGCCATACC